AAAGAGTCATTTTCTTCCAAAATTACTACAGAGACATCAATGAACATGCTAATCACAACTAAAATCCTGCTGCTGGTAATTTTGAGAGTGGCTCTTAAAGGTTCTGAACTATACTCTCTCCTCAGTTTAAGGTTTCTGTGACTCAAAGCTTTGTAATATCCTCTATAAAATATATCATTATAGAAATACTATATACCAATCTCAGATAAGTGTGGGGATCAATCTCAGGTTTCACTTTTTAGTTCTATGACAAGGAGCGTAAATTAGAGCCCTCTGTTCCTCCTACTGTTTAATGTAATACAAGACTCTAGTCAATAGAGACACATATATCACTTAAACATACATCAATTGCCCTACAGAACTATATACTGTTAAGAATGAAAAGGTAAACAAATGATACATATCACTTACAAGCAGCTGTGTGATTCAAGGTAAAGTGAAATGGAAAGAAAGGAGAAAGAAGAAAGGCCAAACAACCCAACAACAAAATTCCAATTCTTATAGCACTGAGTCTGTGAACAGTGCTTACTTGCCCCAATTTTATAAAAATGAAATAAAAATCAGAAAAGGGTATACTGCCTGATTATTTTTTCTTTTATACTCATGAATTCTTAAAAGTTAAAGTAATAAAATACATATATATATATATATATATATATATATATGTAAATGGAAAGTATACCGATTTCACTTTATTAGCCTAATTTCGGAATGGGATGAGGACTATTGGGTTGAGGTCAGGTGTGAAGGAAGAGGGTTAAAATTTGTGACAGCAAAGATCCCTTCAAAATTCTGGTGCAGTCCTCAGTCACTGCAGCCTAATTGTCAGTCAATAGAGTTGAAATCCAGAATACTGAAAGCAGACTCCTGTGCTCCATTTCTGTCCAGGTACTCTTCGGTCACAGTGTGATGAGGTCCACCAGGTTGCCTTTAGGAGGAGTCATGCTGTCAGGAAAGAAATTTACTAAGGTGTCAAAGAGCTGAGTTCTTTGAGCATAGGTGTGATCCACATCGGAAAAGCCTGGTGAAGGAGAGATATAAAGAAACTCATCCACTGTGTTTAAAACTCAACATGTAACAGAAAACCTAGTTGAGAAAAGCAGCAATGTATAATGGAAAAACCAAAACCAAATCAGGCTTTGAAACCAGACAGACATGGGTCCTGATCTCAGTTCTACTACCTAGCAATGGTATGATCTTAGGTAAGGTAATCAGCCTTTCTGCAACTGTTTCCTCAGCTATAAATCTGTGATAATCCTGTTCATGTCATAGGTTTATGGTGCAGATTAAATGCAATTATGTGAAAACCACCTAGCAGAATGACTAGTACTTTAGTAACTAATATCGATTTCTCTTCTTTTCCTTATAAGCATTTTCCTCTTCTAGTCCACTGAGGAATTTTCATTCCTCTTTTCTGACTTTTTAATGCTTTTGAGCAGTAAAAATTTTTTGATAATAAAAATAAAATCAAAATGAAAGAGGTCTTTAGAAAGTAGTCTAAAATTAAGCCCCGGAGAGCTGCAAGAAGTCTCAGAGAACTGAGTGAAAATACAGACAGCTGAGGTTAAGAAATACATCTATAATACACAGAACGATACCTGGCACATAGGAAATAGCATGTATTTATGGTACTATGCATCAGGCTCTATGCTAGGCACACATCATGTGAAAAATAGAGAGCAATGAACTCCTTTTATCTAGATGAATGTTCTAGTAAAAGACATTCTAAAAAGGCTAAGATCGTTGAACCATAAGATTTTTTTCCCCCTTAATATCTAGTAAACCCTGAATTTTCAAGTTTACTCCAGCCAAGGAAATATTCAGTGAGATTCTTTCCTTTAGTAAGCCAGTAATAGTATTGCTCCCCCTGCTTCAAATTTTTTATGCACATACGAAGAATGAAAATGAAAAAATAAACAAAGTAGTCTATTGATTTTCCCCATTCCTGAGATGGCTAACTGAATATGAGAGGCCTACTGAATGCCATCAGAAACAGAAATAGTGCCAGAAAGTTCTTTATGCCATGATAATCAGTGAAGACTATTTCAAATTGGACTGATTTTCAGTTAACTTAGAATACAGTTTTAGATGCAATCTGCCTTTTAATCTTGTAAAGAACATGAACAGAACAGAAAGAATATTGCCAAGGATACCAGTTTCCTGGAAGGAAAATAAACAATGCCTCAAGAAAGGTACATTCCCCCTTATTTAAAAAAGAAAAATTATTACTATTTTAAGTGTGAGGGCAAATGTTTACCACTTTGAGATGAGTTTTAGATTTAACAAAGCCTACTACTATATCACAGAAATGAATGGAAGGAAATACTCCAAAATGTAAACAAAGGTTACCTCTGAATGGTGAGATTGTATTTTTTCTATTTTATGTTCTTCTGAGTTTTCTTAATTGCTTTATTTTCGGCTTATTTTGAAAAATTTCAAACTCACAGAAAAGTTTCAAGAATAGTACAACAAACATTCATATGCATATATCCTTACCTAGATTAACCAATTGTTAACATTTTGCCACATATTTTTTCATTCTCTCTTGTTCTCTAAGTGTGTTTGTATACACCACTCATATTTTTTTTGTGGAACTATTTGGGAGTAAATTGTAGACATCTTCACCCCTAAATACTTGAGTTCATTTCACCTAAGAACAAGAACATTCATCTAAATAACTACTATATATTAAATTTAGGAAATTTAACATTTATGTCTCAAAAACCTTTTTTATAGTCATTTTCCCCACTAATCTAAAATTCAAGATCAAACACTATATTTAGTTATCCAATCTCTTTAGCCTGGAATAGTTCCTCAACCTCTCTTTGTTTTTGTTTGTTTGTTTGTGACACTGTTATAAAAAAAACAAAGAGCAGTAATGTAGTAGAATGTATTAAATTTGGGGTGTCTGGTTGCTTCTTTATGATCAGATTCAGTTTATGAAGTTGGCAAGAACACTACATAGAGATGCTGTGCCCTTCTCAATGCATCATCTTAGGAGGCATGTGGTATCAGTTTGTCCCAATACTGAGGATGTTAACTATGATCATCTGGTTAAACTGGTGTATGCCAGATTTCTACAATGTAAATGTGTACTTTTCTACCTTTGCAGTTAATAAAATATTGATGAGAAGATAGTTTGAAACTGTGCAAATATCCTGTTCTTCAACAGATCTGCACCCAATGATTTTAGCATTAACTGATGATTTTTGCTAAAACAATTATTATGTATATGATGGTGATTTCCTAACTCGACAATTCCTTCTAGATTCATTGGATGACATTAATTGCAAAGAAGAGTTTTCCTTTTCCTTCCTTCATTTTATTTCTCTATTTGCATTAGTATATACTCATGAATCATTTTCTTGTTCAATAGGTTATATCCATTCCTGTCATTATTCATTTTAATACTCATATGTTCTCCCTCTGTATCTTTCTGAAATGTCCCCATTACTTTTTGAGTACCTCCTTACTTTCTGGCACAGTAAGATCTCCAAGCTTATATTTACACAGCTCTGGAGTCTGCCATTTTCCCCAGGAACCCTAATTCCTTTTAGTGGCAAATGATATTTAGAAACCAAGATCAGTTGTGCTAATTGCCAGGGGTGGTGTTGTTTCTAGGCCTATACATATATGCACACATATTATACACACATCTATTTTAAAAAAACCAAAATCATTAGTCCATGCTTTTATTGCTAATTCAGTTTTTTAAGAACCTCACAGAGTTCTTCCTCTCCTTATTCCATTCCATGTTTATAGCTCCTTTCTCCTACTAGGAAAACCTACTCCCAGCAATATTTATTCATTTGTTAAACCTAAAACACACAAAACAAGTTCCAGAATTACTATACCCAAACCATTACCAGCAAAATTCAAGATTTCCTTGCTTTTATTGTTTTTAGAATATACTTCACTGATAGTATATAGTCTAAGCTGTATTTAAAAAGGTTTAATTCTCTTTTTTCCCCTACTGTGCAATTATGTTACCAACTTGATAAACATGTCTGTTTGTTCCTGTTCGTATTCAACTTTAGGGCTTTTCACACCTTTTATTTTACTTTCTTTATTTGTAAAAATGCTGTGGTACATTATATTTTTAAGAGAAGCTACTGATTCTGTGATAGTACGCTATAAAATAATACCATTTTCATGAGATCAAATGATTTAGGAGGGAAGGAAACAAACACTGAGTCTCTACTACATGCTAGTTTCTTTATGTATGACATTTCATTGTCACAAAAATAACCCAACAAAGCAGTTACCATAAACTCCAATTTCAGATGCAACACTTAAGAGAGTCAGTCATTTAATAAGGCATCACAGTTGGTGAGGAAAGAGAATGGAGTGTGAACCCAGGTCTGACTCCAAAGCCCATTTATTTTTATTAACTGAGTGCTTATTAAATTGTAGGCAATGTGCTAAATTCATTTAATCCTCAAAAAAACCTTTTATTTTTATTCACCTTTTACCAATAAGGAACTTGAAATTTACACTCTCATTAGATGAATGGTTAAATTATGGTAGATCCCTATTATGGGATATTGTGTATCACTTACAAATACAATAAATCTAGTATAGTTTCATCTAAGCACCTCCAAGCCACATCATTAAATTTTAAAAAGTTATGTGGAGAATACATGTTTTTATATTATGTAATAAATAAAACCAGAAAACATAAAACCATACATCTATGTGTGTGTGTGTGTGTACATATATACGGTTGATCCTTATTCACAGATTCTATATTTGTACATTTGCTTACTTGCTAAAACTTGTAACCCCCAAATCAGTATTTGTGCCACTTTTGTGGTCACTCACAGACACACAGAGTGGCAAAAGTTTGAGTCACCACATGTAAATATATGTTCTCAACTGAGGTCAACTAGGTAATGCTCTGCCTTCTTGTTTCAGCTCTCATACTATAAACAAGTGTCCTTTTCACAGTCTACTTGGTGTCATGTTCTTCAAATTCTGTTTTTTCTTGGTGACTTCACTGCTGAAAATGGTCCCCAAGTGTGGTGTTGAAGTGCTGGCTAGTGTTCCTAAGTGCAAGAAGGCTGCAATGTGCCTTATGAAGAAAATACAGGTTAGAAAAGCTTCATTCAGGAATGAGTTATATATAGTGCTGTTGGTGTGAGTTCAATGTTAATGATATCAACAGTATAAATACACAAGTAAGGTGTGTTCCTGTTGAAAGAAAGCAACATTATATTATTAATCAATTGACAAAAAGTCTGTGACAAGAGGCTTAACAGGAACCTATCTCTGTATTTTCCATAGGAGCAAAGGGTCAGTATTCACCAGTTCAGTGTTATAGGTGACTTCATAGACTATTACTGTGAATAATGGGAATCAACTCTACCTGTATGTCGGTGTATAAAGATCTGCCAAATACAAGTGGTTACACTTGAGGGAAGCAGGCAGGGACTGAGGGAAGTTGTTCAAAGAGAATCTTAATATTAAAAAAAAAAGCATCAAAAATGGGTGGGGCACCAGGAAACTCATCAACAGCAACATGACTACTTAAATGGTAGAGACAGGACGAAAAAGGTTGTATTGATTTTAAATCTCATGCTCCTAACTACTGTTTCTCTCATTTTCACCATACAGTGGAATGAGGAACTTATCGCTCAGAGTAGTGGAAACTGGTAACGCTCAATGAGAGGAAGTACAGTTATTGATTTAGTTCTGAAGCCAAACTACTAAGGTGTGAATCCTGGTTTTGCTACTCACTAGCACTATTCTTGGGCAACTTACTTTAGCCTCTCTGTGTTCCAGTTTCTTCACATATAATAAAAGGGGATCATACTAGTGCTACTTTATAGGCTTATTATGAAGATTAAGTGAGTTATGACATGTAAAGTGTTTAGAATAGTACCTGGTCCCACAGTAAGTGCTCAATAAATAATAGCTATCACTTTACCATTACTATTGTGACTGAAGACAATGACTGCTCTAAAAGAAAGTGACCTATTAGAAATATACTTTCTAAAAAATTTTTTTCAAAAATTTATTTTATTTATTCATTTTTTTGGGCTGCATTGGGTCTTCATTGCTGCGCACAGGCTTTCTCTAGTTGTGGCAAGCAAGGTCTAATCTTTGTTGTGGTGCACGGGCTTCTCACTGCAGTGGCTTCTCTTGTTGCAGAGCATGGGCTCTAGGTGCGCGGGCTTCAGCAGTTGTGGCACGTGGGCTCAGTAGTTGTGGCTTGCAGGCTCTAGAGCGCAGGCTCAGTAGTTGTGGTGCACGGGCTTAGTAGCTCTGCAGCATGTGGGATCTTCCCGGCCCAGGGCTTGAACCTGTGTCTCCTGCGTTTGTAGGTGGATTCTTAACCACTGTGCCACCAGGGAAGCCCCAGGAATATATACTTTTAAGTTAACATCCTATACAGGCTAGGTAGCTTTTCCTATTTATGGTAATAAGGAAGAAATAGCAAGAATTCTCATTTTTCTCCTAGATAGAAGTTTCTTTGTGTTTACATTTCTTATTTCTAAAATAAACTCATTATTATATAAAAATCACCTGTAAACATGTGGGCTAAAGACAGGAGGTTGAAGAAAGTCTCTTGCTGAAATCTAAATTTTGTGGATTTAGGTACAAGTATAAAGGCTAAAACGGCACAGTAAATGCTGTGAAACCCCTAAGGCTCCTCATTCACAAATGTCAACACACTGCCAAAGAGCACTGTACTTTAGACATAAAATATTTTAAACAGCTGTCTGAATTCATACTTGCACATCGCATACGGACTATAAAACTTCTAAAGAAAGGTGTGAAGACCAAGAAAGGCAATATGCTTCTACAGACCAGATTTTCCCTGTCACATACCTTGCTGAAAATATGCTCTTAAAATTAGCAGAAAGCCCAAGTTCAAGCTTCACAGTGCCCACAGCCTCAGACACAGACACAGTAGCTCTAAGCTAAAGATCCCCAAAGGTTATTTTTCTCCGAAGTCAGTCATTTTTCAAAACTAAGATAATGCCAGCTGTTTGCAAATCATTTTCCATCTTTCTAAATATTTAAATTACATGTAACATTAGTAAATACTTTAATTCTAAGAGGTTAAGATAAACTGGATGAATTCTGAAGGAAGTCAGACAGTTTGGTTGAGCCAACTTTGGCAGGACATAATTTAGAAAACAAAATATTCAGTCATCTATACATGAAAAGTGTATACATCTATACATAAAATAACCCATTAGATTTCAATTCTAAGTGGCGTAAAGGTAAAACAATCAGACAGAAAATGAATGAGAATAAGAACCAGGAACTCTAAATAGGCATGAAACCTTATGAAAGGTACTTTTTGTTTATAAATAATATATCAAATGTCTCCTTATTAAAATTAGCATATAACCTGAATTTGCTCCTCATCCAAATTCACCAATGTTACAAAGATGACATTTATAAAGAAGGTAGTAATACAAGTACTTGAATGGGGCACTTACTAAGTATTTCATTTTGTTGTTTTTCATAATTACTTAATTCTCTCAACAACTTGAGGTAAGTACTCTGCTTACCTCCATTTTATAGATGAAGAACTTAATGCTTAGAAAGGTGAATTGTTCAAAGTCACTTTTAAAATTAGCAAGTGGCAGAGCTGATAGCTAAACCTATATTCTGACCCTTAACCACTATACTACACTCTTATCTCTTAACTACTAAACTGCCTCCCTTCAGACAGGTAGGAAACAAAACCCCACAGAAAATTTCCCTTTTTGTATTTTTTTCTGTTGTGTTTGTATGGATCTCAGTGTCCCTGAAGTTTAGAATCCAACTAAAACAAACTGTTCCTGACAAAATATATTAGCTCACAGTGAATAGGGCAGAGAAAGAAGAAAAGAGTTAAGCTAAAAGTAAAATATTCACTGATACCAGTCTAACATATTCAAATGACTGCCAAAAAATTCTTGTTCTAAAGGCTAAATATAAGTCAGCCAGAGATATTTCAGTGCTGTCCACCACTAAAATAAAAATAATGGCTCTGGGCTGCAGTACCCATACCTAACAAGGCACACATTTATTCAAAGTGAATATCTATATGAAAGGCTCTCAGTTCCTGTATCACTAAACCTGTTTCAAATGATAAAACTCAAAAGGGCGTGAACTTTCCAAAATAATGCCTATAACTAGACTCTCCATCTTAGGGCTGAGATTTCTAACAACCTGAAAACATTTTTTAAAAGCCCTTTGAGTGTATGGGACAGTGGTAAACAATTACATAAATTTTTAGGAGAACCTACTGGAGTTACATTTTATAGCAGTCCTCTTGCCCTGTGGAATCCTACATATTCTGGAATTAGAACTCAGGGCTCCAGTTGCCTTGATCAGTAGAGTAGTCTCAATTACTCATTAAGGAAAAACAAAACAAAGGGCAAGACCCCAAGAAACACTACTACTATTTCCCATCCCAGTGAGAAACACCATCATTGTTATGTCTGTTTTTTTTTCCTTTGAGGTATGTTTCACCTTTAAGAGACAAAAGGTCAAACAATGAAGAAATTAAACTGATATTCCAAAGTGTTATTTAATTCCAAAGATAAAGAGAAGTATTTATATTACATACGCTGGAAAATTTCGATACTATTGCTGGACTCTAAGGCAAATTGAAAATAGCACCAGCATTAATGAGATTAATATGCATTCACTGTGTGACTGCATAATGACAAGAGGAAAGTTGGAAATTCCCATACTTGAAAAGGCTACTATCTTGTTGAAAAACTGAAGCTATAATGACTTATCCTAACTAAAAGATCCTTGAAAATTCACCTGACTAAAGCTCTGGATTCTGGAACTTCTAGACTCCCCACTTTACTACAATCTAGTTTAACTACTTTAATAATTCATTAATACTAAATGAGAGTACTACTAAGTGAAAACTGATGCCCATATCTGGGATGCTTGAGAAACACTTGAACAATTAAGATACCAACATACAAAAATATCCATTTTCAGTAAAGAGGTAATTCGTTCTTCTGCTCCCAAACATTTATTTCATTGTCTACTCCATCACCATTCTGTTGACACCACACAATTTCACAAAGAACAAACAGGAAAAACATTCAACCAGCAAGTGTTAACTCATGGTAAGTATATCAGTAATACAGTCTGCATTCCAAAACAACATTATACAAATTATTTTGATCAGGCTTCTATTGCCATCTGTTTGCATAATAACCCAGCAATTGGTGTAATAGGAACTGCAAACTGATCCATGAACTGGGAACTGATGCCTGGAAAATAACCTTGTAGCAGGTTATTAGAAATTTTGCATGCTACCTTGAAACTTGCTTCATTTGTTTGGATGACATCTCATCTGATGTTTCATTTAAAAGAAATAAAAGTCCAACCTCCCAAATTCTAGGGCATATGGCCGGATAAATTACATTGGAATACTTACCTAGAGCTGTGAAATCTGAACCAGATTTAAACAGAGCTGAAGCCAGGAGCTGAAACTGTGGGGGCAGGGGAGAGAAAAAAGCAAATTAGCTAGGTAAGCACACTGGAGAATAAACTCCTATAATTTCGACCATTCATTAGCCACTGGATGTCTCTGCATGTGTTGCATAAGTCTATTCACCAAAAAGTGGCAATAAGAACACCGTATTTAGATTAAACAACATGCTGACTTTTCTAGTGGACTGCTATTATCATTTTCCAAAATACTAGACCAAGTCCTGGAATTATTTTATTTTTAAAATATATTAAAGTATGTATTTATTAAGGAACAATAGGTCAACTGAAATATAAAATATTACTCACTACCATATGATCCAGCAATTCCACTCTTGAGTATACATCCAAAGAAAATGAAAACACTAATTTGAAAAGATACATGCACTCCAATGTTCACAGCAGCATTATTTACAATAGCCTGATATGGAAGCAACCTAACTGTCCATCAACAGATGAATGGATAAAGAAGATGTGGTATATATATACAATGGAATACTACTCAGCCACAAAAAAGAATGAAATAATGCCATTTGCAACAACATGGATGGACCTAGAGGGTATTATGCTAAGTGAAATAAGTCAGACAGAGAAAGACAAATACCAGATGTTACCACTTATATGTGGAACCTAAAGAATGAATGAATGAATAAAACAAAACAGAAAGACTCACAGATAGAACAAACTAGTGGTTACCAATGGGAAGATGGAAAGGGGTAGGGGCAGGACAGAGATAAGAGGTACAAACTACTATGTATAAAATAAATAAGCTACAAAGATACATTGTACAGCACGGGGAATATAGCCAGTATTTTATAATAACTTTAAATGGGATATAATCTATAAAAGTATTGAATCACTATTTTATACACCTGAAACTAATATAATATTGTAAATCAACTATACTTCGATAAAGAAAAAGAAAATTAGGGGCTTCCCTGGAGGCACAGTGGTTGAGAATCTGCCTGCCAATGCAGGGGACACGGGTTCGAGCTGTGGTCTGGGAAGATCCCACATGTCGCGGAGCAACTAGACCCATGAGCCACAACTACTGAGCCTGCGCGTCTGGAGCCTGTGCTCCGCAACAAGAGAGGCCACAATAATGAGAGGCCCGTGCACCACAATGAAGAGTGGCCCCCGCTTGCCACAACTAGAGAAAGCCCTCGCACAGAAACGAAGACCCAACACAGCCAAAAATAAATAAATAAACCAATGAACCGACATTAAAAAAAAAAGAACGTATGATGTAGAAGTAGCACCATCCTTCAAGGTGGAGAAGAATTCACTTATCTACCACTACCCCTTCTTCCTTAAAAAAAAAAAGAAAAAAGAAAAATTACTCATTTGGGAATCTATCACACAAAGAGAGACTGATGCCCTGTATATTAGTAAATATGAATTCTCACTTCAAAAATAAATGCATGCTACTGTAAAACACCTGATGTCTCTGTGTAAATCAAACTCTGAGGAAAAAAGCATGGTTATTATGCATAAGCCATCTCTAAATTACCACTCAGATTGGTATTCCATGGTCATATATAATTGTATTATTATATAATTATAAAGGCTCAAAGGTCTTTTTTACATTGAAAAAATGTTGTGTTGATTAGATTCCCAGGCTAGCCAGAGTTAGTTTAAATCAGACAATGCAACTGAACAATGACAAAATAAGATAAAACTATTGCATCACTTGTACTTTAACAAATTGGTAAAGAAATAAAAATTTAGGAGAACTATTCATATTTATCTTGAATGAGGATGCTGGAAAACAGGTCAGTTAAAGGAAGGAATAAGAGTATACAAATGAGTTGAATCTCAATGGAGTTTACTTGGCACTTTGCAAGACTTGAGCAGCTGATACCACTGATTCTTCAGGATGTACTTCACACTTGTACTTGTAGCCTTTAAAATTTCAGGTATCAGTCACCTGATTAATCATCCTTTGAATGTAAGAAACTGGACTAATTAGTTAGGAAAAAAGGGGATAAAAGGAAGAGCTAAAAATATATGAAACTTCTTCACATATTCTGGGTATCAGTCCTCTGTCAGACATATCTACTGCAAATATTATTTGGTCTGAAGCTTGTCTATTTTTATCTTTATTTTTAATTTTTGGCCGCATGGTGTGGCCTGTGGGATCTTAGTTCCCCGACCAGGTATCGAACCCAGGCCCTCTGCTGTGAAACCGTGAAGTCCCAATCACTGGACCATCAAGGAATTCCCTCATCTATTCATTTTTGATAATGTCTTTTAATGAGTAGAAATTTTAATTTGGTTGAAGTCCAATTTGTCAACTTTTTCTTTTATGATTAGTGCCTTTTGTGTCATGTCCAAGAAAGCTTTGCTTATCCCAAAGTTGCGAAGATAATCTGTTGTCTTCTTAAAGTTTCATTGTTTTGGGTTTTATACTTAGATCCATAATCCATCTTAATTTTTGTGTTAAGAGTGAAATAGTGGTCGACGGGCTTCCCTGGTGGCGCAGTGGTTGACAGTCCACCTGCCAATGCAGGGGACACGGGTTCGTGCCCCGGTCCGGGAAGATTCCACATGCCACATAGCAGCTAGGCCCGTGAGCCATGGCTGCTGAGCCTGCGCGTCCGGAGCCTGTGCTCCGCAATGGGAGAGGCCACAACAGTGAGAGGACCACGTACCGCCAAAAAAAAAAAAAAAGTGAAATAGGGGTTGAGATATCCAGTTACTTAGCACTATTTGTTTAAAAAACCTTTCTTTTCCTTATTGGACTTGGTGCTCTGGTCAAAAAAATATGCATATATATGCAGTCTGTTTCTGAACTCTATTCTGTTCTATTGATCTATTTGTCTATCCTTAAGGCAGTACCACACCACCTTGATTACTATGGCTCTATACAGAGTCCTGAAATCAGGTAGTAAGTATGAGACCTCCAACTTTTTCTTTTTTCAAGATTGTTTTGGCTAGTCCAGAGCCTTTTCATTTTGACTAAATTTTAGAATAAGTTTGTCTATCTCCTCAACAACAAAGAAACCCAAACTGGCTGGAATATTGACAGGAACCGCATTAAATTATAAACCGATTTGGGGAGAATGGGCATCTCAACACTTTTTAGTCTTTCATACCACAAATGTGATTTATTTCTCCATCTATTTAGGTATTCTTTAATTTGTCATCTAAAAATGCAAACAATTTTACTTCCTCCTTTCAAATCTATACGCTGTTTCTTTCTTTTTCTTACCATATCGTACTAGCTAGGACTTCTGGCATAATGCTAAATAGAGGTGTTGAAGCACACAACCTTTCCTTGTCATAATCTTAGGGGAAAGGGTTTAATGTTTTACAATTAACTATGGTACTAGCTGTATGTTTTTCACAGGTGCCCTTTATGAGATTTATGATGTTTCCTTTATTCCTGGTTTGTTAAGAATTTTTATCATCAATGGGTTTTGCATTCTGCCAATGATTTTCTTCACTTATTGAGATGATCTGTGGTTTTTCTCTTTCATTCTGCCAATGTGGTGAAATATACTGATTTTCAAATGTGAAACCAACCTTGTACTCCTAGCATAAACCACCTCTTGGCTATTGTGCATTAACCTTTTTATATATTGCTGGATTCAATTAACTAAAATTTTCTTAAGAATTTTGTATCTACATTCACAGGGCTATTGGTCTGTAATTTTCTTTGCTTGTAATGTCTTTTTTGGGTTTTTACATCAGTTAAGCTGCTTCATAAAAGGATTTAGAAGGTGTTCTGTCTTATTCTGATTTCTACGAATCTATACCAAATTGGCATTTTTTTCTTCCTTAAAGGGTTGATAGAATTTACTGATATAGCCATCCAGGCCTAGTATTTTCTCTCTTGGGAAGTTTTCAATTACAAATTCAATCTCTGTAATTGATATGGAGTTCCTTAAAATTTTCTAATTCTTCTTGTGTTAGTTTTGGTAAGTTGTATCTTTCAAGAAATTTGTCCATTTCATCAAGTTGCTGAATTTGTTGACAAACTTGTTCATAATATCTCCTTAGTACACTTTTAATGTAGGTAGGGCTGTAATGATTTCCCCTTTTCATTTGTGATGCTTATAATTTATGTTTTCATTATTTGTTTCCTTGATAAGTCTTGCTAGAGGTTGACCAATTTTAGTCACTTTTTCAAAGAACAAACTTTTCACTTTTTATATTGTTTCTACTGTTTCCTATTTTACTAATTTCCTATATTCTAGTGAATACTTATTTGGGGTTAATTTGTTGCTCTTTTCTAACTTCTACGATGAAAGATAAACTTCACTGGCTCTAAACAGAAGAATGGGGAGAAAACTGTTACTTTAACAATCCAATTAAATAAGTGGCACTGCTATGTACTGGCCTAGAGTTTTAACAGGTACTGAGTAATAGTACACAATCTGAATAAAGTCAGTCCTCTCTCCCCAGCTTCAGACTTGAACATCCAACTATCACTTCAACATCTCAAGCTGGCTGTTTCACAGGCAACTCAAACTGAACATATGCAAAATTAAACTCCTGATTCCAGTCAGGAGGCTCCACCTTCTCATTTCAGTTGACAGTAACTCCATCCTTCTAGCTTTTCAGGCTCAAAACTTTGGAGTCATTTCCTTCAAACCCTACATCCAATTGTAAAATTCTGTTGGTTCTACCTTTAAAATATACTGAGGGGACTTCCCTGGTGGCAGAGTGGTTAAGAATCTGCCTGTCAATGCAGGGGACACGGGTTCCATCCCTGGTCCAGGAAGATCCCACATGCCGCAGAGCAACTAAAAGCCCATGCACCGCAACTACTGAGCCTGCACTCTAGAGCCTGCATGCCACAACTACCGAGTTCATGCACTGCAACTACTGAAGCCCGTGTGCCTAGAGCCCATGCTCCGCAGCAAGAGAAGCCACTCAATGAGAAGCCCGTGCACCGCAACGAAGAGTAGACCCCGCTCGCTGCAACTAGAGAAAGCCCGCGTGCAGCATCAAAGACCCAATGTAGCCAAAAAAGTATATACATACATACATACATACATACATACATACATACATACATACATATATATATATATATATATATATATATATAGAGAGAGAGAGAGAGAGAGAGAGAGAGAGAGAGGGAGGGAGGGGAGGGAGAGAGAATCTGATCTATTTTACTTCTCACCATTTCTATTGCTACTACTTTGCTCTGAGCAACAATCCCCCTTGCTTAGATTTCTACACCTCCCTCATAGTTCTCTTTGCCTCCATCCTTGTTCCCTTTTAGTGTATTCTCAATACAGTACTCAGAGTGACCTAATTAAAACATAAAGCAGATATCACTCCTCTGCATGGACAATACCCTGAATCAGCTCCCTATCCAGAGTAAAAGCCAAAGTCCTAATAATGACTTATGATGTCATTCATAACCTGTTCTGCCAATCCCTGCTCTTACCTCTTGTACCTCATCTCTGACTGCTTTCACTCTCCTTACCTCTACTCCAGCCACAAGTGTCTCCTTGCTGTTCTAAACAAAGCCAAATACTCTCCATCCCAGGGTCTCTGTTCTAGCCCTCCCTTTGCTAGGAATTATCTTCCCCAAATTATCTACTTAGATCACTCCCTCATATTCTTCAAGTCCTTGTGCAAATCTGATTTCCAAATGAGGTCTATTATGATTATTCTATTTAATACTGCAACTGCCCAATTCTTACCCCTTCTATCTATCTATCTATCTATCTATATATATATATAATTATTTTTTTAAACGTAGATTTTATTTATTTTTGGCTGCGTTGGGTCTTCGTTGCTGCGCGCAGGCTTTCTCTAGTTGCGGCAAGCGGGGGCTACTCTTCGTTGCGGTGCGCAGGCTTCTTATTGCAGTGGCTTCTCTTGTGGCAGAGCACGGGCTTCCATAGTTGTGGCTCGAGGGCTTCAGTAGTTGTGGCTTGTGGGCTCTAGAGCGCAGGCTCAGTAGTTGTGGCACACGGGCTTAGTTGCTCCGTGGCATGTGGGATCTTCCCGAACTAGGGCTTGAACCCAGGTCCCCTGCATTGGCAGGCGGATTCTTAACCACTGCGCCACTAGGGAAGTCCCCTTATATTTTTGATCTCTTTTTAATTTTCCTATAATACTTATCAAATTCTAATGCATGGTATAATTTATTTAATACGTTTATTGTTCCTCCCCACTAGTATGTAAGTACCTCCTGGGCAAGTATCTTGTTTGGTTCACTGGTATATCTATTGTACCTAGAAGAATGCCTGGCATATTGTAGGAACTCTACACAATCTTTTAAATAAATGACATCGGTACTTTGGAATCTCAGTAGAAAGACAATTAATACAGAGTGTGCAATACTGGCTGAAAACTTGTTTTTCTTGTTCCTTCTCTATTATAGAATCCTCTCTGAAAATGGTAGAATCAGTTTAAGCATCCTTTTCTTGGCCCTTTTCTAGAAAAAAATACAATGTTCATAAGCTTTATGAACATAAGCTCATCACCAATTTAGAACCCATGCTCTGGAGACTGGAAGAAAGCAAAGAACCGTTATTAGTTGATAGTCCACCAGCATTTTGTGACTAAAAGACACAATGATGACCCAAAAAAAGGGGAGAAAAATCTAAAAACCACTTCTGGTTGCTGATAAAATCATTTAATATAATGAAAAATTTGTAAAACATACATAGAGAACAAAACCAAGCTACTACAGAAAATGAAGAGCAGTAAAAAGGCCTTTCTCAAAAAGGGGAATGATTTCTTACAATGAAAAGTGAAGATCTATATGCCTCACTAACAGATACTGTAAGTACATATATATACTGGAGCTGTCACCAAGGGATTTCTTTCCCCAAACGAAATCTGTTCACACATTTTTAAACAAAAGAATAACCTTACAGACCAGTAATTCTCAATTTTTTTAGGTGTGTTTTCAGTTTTCCATTGTAAAAGAGCAGACAGAGGAGACTCTTAGGGTGAGGGTATTGTTCTGAAAATTCTAAAGTGATTCTGATGCTGATATACACATGAATAACATCATTTTTACTAACTTCTACTAGGGTTAAACAACTCTTGATAGACACAGCTTTTCAGAAATGGAGTGGAAGTCTGTGGCATACAAAATCACAATTTGATACTCTTCCGGAAAAGAGAAACCCACTACCAAAATTCTTAAAATGACTGTTTGAACTTGAGATACCTCCCTGTCCTGGACTTTCCTACTAGCTTAGCTTTAAGAACAAACTGTCTGTTTTCTTTGGCCTACTTGCAACTCACACAGCTGAAATTATTTACTTTGAAATATTTTGTTTTGGTTTGGTTTTAAAAAATAAAAGAAAAATGAATGTTCCGGATTACAGCCATTTTAGACAGACTATGGTGAAAACACAAGAAAATCCATTTATAACTCTCAAATGCACGGTCTAACAAAACAGAACATTAACAGACTCTTCACAACTATGTTCAGTTTATAAGCCATAACAGATTAAACCAAATATATTCTGCTACTTGGCAAAATTGTGACAATTCTCCCTATTTCAAATAGTATCATGAACTGACTGAAGACTCAAGAAGAGACAATTAACTGTCCTTTTTCAGGGGGTTTTAAAATGTGTTCTGCTGATTCTCCACCTACTGAAGGGTTGTAACCAATACTGAGTGAGAGAACTAGGGCTTATTTTCACAGTAGGCAACTATGAAAGAGTACTTCTTTGTTTTGGTGCCAAGGACATGAAGGGTCTTCTGCTTGAAAGTACAATGAACCTGGTACCTGAAAGTCATTCAGTCTGATACCTGTGTCAGTGCTGAACAGAGGAAAACACTGCTTGATGTTGCTATTACAAAGCCAAAGCACAGCAACAGCTAACAGGGAAATAGATGTAAGGAACAGAACTACATATAATCACCAATTCTGAGAATGGAAGGTAAAATGGATTGCAGTTCAGATGTTGCTAGATGAACTATGAACAAGAATAGTTAGCAAAAGGAAGAAGTGACAAAAGGAATCTTAGAAGTTGGAAGAGAGGTTGTAAGACCATGAAACTCATTGCAGGTATATTCACACACTGTGGATATGCAAATATGCCCTAAGAATATTAAATCTTAGAAACAGCTGCTTCCATCCCATGTTATGTATCAAAAAAACTGAAAAGTAATGATCTGTTACTAAGTTCTCAAGCTTAGGGGCTACTGATGAACGAAGTTAGTAGCCTATGGTAAAACTGTACTGCTACAACATTCATATAACTAAATATCAAGCCAGCAAAGATTCTACTCCCACCAACCTCTCTTCACTTTCTCCTTACAATAAAGGACAGTTTTCTTTCTTGTTTTAGGGGGATTTTCGAGTATCAGTAGAAAAAGTTTATACTGAACTTTATGTAACCCTTAAGTAAAGGAAGTATGGAACTATGGCAGAAGTAAAATTTTCTATTTCCTTTCCAATACAAAATCTAATGACTACTTAAAACTTTATACCTGAGAATCCTTTTCTGAGTGGATCACAGGTTTTTGTGTGACTTGAATCTTAGATTACCACATGAAAATATGTCTACTCAATTTTTATTTCATCTGCTCTGTACCATTTTTAAGATTTTTAGTGTCATCATATTTTCCTCACTTTCCTTTAAACATCCAAGAGCAAAGTCAACAAATATAAGTTAGAAAGACAATTTTTTAAACATTCAATTTCTGAAGTTTATTGCCACCTTTACCTCTTTTGTCTCTTCTGGGTCTGAATGATCCACAGTTATATAAAGATCATTTTGTAGATATTTCAGAGCACTAAGGGGATCCATTTGGGCCTTCTCTTCAAACCTAGAAAATGTAAACAAGAATAATTGTCTAGAGTTATGAAAAAACATCAGAAATGTCTTTTAAACCCAGAGTATCTGAGAAGATATTGTGGATGTCTAAAACACCTGTGCTTAAGAATCCAGAAGTAAGAATACTGACACATATATAAATAGTGTACATGTGGAGTCCCTGGAGATGTAATGGTAATGTCAGGCTGTGGTGCTAGAGACTGGATAAGAGCATTTCTGACCCTCCTCTTAAAACTATAAGCTAAGATTAAATCAACTACAAAACATAGTGAATATGTCAAATATTTTATATAACAGAAGTGCAAAATAGCCAAATATGTTTCATAAAAAAACAAGTAGAGATAAAATAAAAATACTTTCCTAGATTTGTGTCATATACTTTCCACTGGAGGTGCTTAACAGATACTTCAGAAAGTGAAATGAGTATAGTTTCTTCTTTTTTTTTTTTTTTTTTTTCGG